CTTTCTCTCATCATCTAATATAATGCAGGTTTTATTTTCAAATGCAGAATGTAATTTCTTTCAAGCATTTGTCCTACACTAAGCAGATTCTGGTTGATTTCAGGAACAAATAAACATTATAAATGATCTTTGTACCTGTCATGGTTTGCACAGCCACATCTCCCCGTCCTTTAACTTTCACAAGTTCTCCTTTTCCCACCTTTACACTTGACTGGTATGCTTGATCCAATTGCACAAAATTCTCTAGATCAGGCTTCATGTGGTTTGTACATCCACTATCAATCAACCAAGTTCCAGCATTGAACTGAACAGCATAGCAGGATGCCACAAAGAGCTGCTCAGATTCAGAATTCTGCTGTAAATCTTCAGAGTCTGGCTTGCTGTGCAGGTTGCTGTTGTTTGTTTTTGCAGACCTTTTCAATGTGGCCAAGCTGCTTGCATGCCCTGCATTGAACATTTGGTCTGAACCCCACTTGTACTCGCATGGTTCTTCTTTTTGCAGTGGGAACATGGTGCAAAACCCTGAAACCTGCTGGTTTGTTCCACGCTTGTTTGCTCTCTCCTTTCCTCTTTTCTCCTCCCAACTTCTGTTTTCTCCTTGAGTTGGCTTGCTCTCTGCTGGACAAACAATGCAGCTTCACTACTGTCTTCTTGCCTCAATTTTCTTCTTTGCTCTTGGGCTTGAAGAGCATGAACAAGTTCGGTTAAAGTGATTTGAGACAGTCTTTGGAATCCTCCAAGAAGAAATCTTTGCTTCAAACCTTTCGGGTAGGCTCACTAACACCTTTTCAACAATTCTTTTATCACTTATCTCTTCCCCTAACAACCTTATCTTGTTAACCACATCATTAATCTATCTACATACTCTTTAACAATCACCCTTTGCATTTTCAATGTCTCAAACTCTCTCCTTAGTTCAACTTGCATGTTTCTGGTTTGGGGGCTTCCTCCAAATTCTTCCTTAAGCTTGTCCAAGCTTCCTTTGCTGTCTCACAAGCCATTATCCTTGTAAAAACTTGATCGGTGACTGCAGCATGTAAATGGGACAGGCTTGGAGCTTTTGCAGTCTCCTCTTCATGGAGTCTTATCTGGCGAGGGTTGGTTTGGTCCCAACTGTGGTGGCTGTTTCTCTTCATCTACATACTGCCATAAACCTGACCTCTCAAGTAGGCCTTCATCTTAACAGCCCACATGGTACTGTTCCCCATTAAGGTTGGAGGCAAGAGTGAGGCTGAACTGTTGCCATGAAGTCTGTCTTCGGTGAGGTAAGGGCTGACAGAGAGTGTAAGGATGGAGGTTTGCAGGCCCCTTAAGATCAAGATGGAGCTCTGATACCACTTGTTGGTTTTTTGAGCATGAATGTGTCTTACGGGAGAGAAAAGGTGATAAAACAAGAAGGGAAAAGAGCTGTAATATTGCATTATATTGAACTGAAAAATTCAGAGGACATATATCATGACAGACACTATTGCACCTAACCATAAAACATATTTTAGTCCAAAATGGCATCCTAAACACACAACATAGCAACTCTGATTACATCACATTAATTTGATACAAAGTTGACAACCTAAATACATGCTGACTCACCAAATCTTCACTTCAGCATGCCTACAGAACAGCTACGTGAACTGCTCCAGACCAGATTTTCAAACTTCAGCCTTTTCTTTTGACGCCAGATCAGCTCCAGTTTAATCCAAAATAATGCTTCAAGAAATATCACTTCTTTGAACAAACACAAAGCAATCCAATGTGGATAAATCTCTCAGTTCACTGATGAATCAACTCTTAGACTAGGATCTATCAGATTCAAAGCTGTCCCTTCATTCCAATTTCTCCATGCCTGCAAAAAAGATTTCACGGCCTTGATAGTGTGGAATTGGAGAATATTTATAAAGACTTTTAGTGACTTACATAGGTTAACAGATCCTGCACTTGCTCATGAAAAGAACTATTCTTTTGACCACTGATGATTTCCAAGACTAACACACCAAAGCTAAAAACATCAGACTTGACTGAAATTGTCCGTGCTTTAGATACTCTGGAGCCTATATATGCACTGAAAACGGCCATTAATGGTTAGATTTTGTTTAGTAGGTCAAGTTTTAATGCTTACATATATATATAATATTATATATATATATTATATACTTACAAGGTCCCAACGACTTTACTTGTATTGCCTTGAGTTTGATCCATTTCGAACAATTTCGCCATTCCAAAATCTGAAATTTTTGGAACCATGTCGGCATCTAGAAGAATATACTAGCTTTAGATCACGATGAATGACCCAAAACCTGGAATCTTCATGAAGGTAAAGAAGTCCTCGGGCTATGCCCCCTATGATTTTGTATCGAGTTTCCAAGTCCAATAATAAACGCTTTATCGGATCCGCAAATTCACAAAGCCATTGATTGTAGAAAATTTGTAAAAATATTCTAGTCCTGAAAAAGCTACAAGAATGCAAAAGTCAAAGCAAAAGAGCAGTAAAACCATACCAAATCTGAAGTTATCTAGACTTAAATTGGGCACAAGCTCTAGATGAGAAGCCTTTTATTTCCTTTCAAACAAAACCTAAAAGTCTAACCAAGTTCCTATGTTGAAGCTTGGTCACTAAGAGGACCTCATTTTAAATTCTAATTCTCCTTGTGCTGATTCTTAGCCAGCCTCTTCACAGCAATGTCCTATCCATCAGGAAGCCTACCCTGAAATTGTATAGCTTCAATGAATTAAAAACTTACAATTTAACCCATTTTGACTCAATTTGATATCATTTTGTTAATGAACACTTAATATACCTTGTAAACAACACCAAATCCCCCTTGTCCAAGCTTGTATCATTTGAGAAGTCATTTGTTGCAGCTCGATAGTACTGAAGTCGAATTGCAAGGATTCCATATTATCAGTTTCATCAACATCTAAACATAACAGCAAGAAGTTAGAACTCTTAAAAAAAAAAAAAAAAAATTATTGCTGGTCTTATAGCAGAGAAAATTGCAGATACCTTCTATCTCCTTATTACCTCTGGTCTCCTGCTTTGCCTTTTCTCCTTGTATACAAGGACACAAGTGAACGCAACAAGTGCTATAATGATAACTAGTACAGAAGAAACAATGATTAAATAGTTCTAGATGTAATGCCTCCTTTGCCAGCATCCTCAAAACAGAAAAAATGTTGTACTATAGTCAATATTTAATGATATCTTCTGATCTGACTTTTTACCAAGCGAACATAAGGACTCGTAAAAAATTTATTATTCGGGATCCTTTCTATCTGAATAAAACAAACAAAGATAGAATCAGACCAATTCCCTTAAATGCCTATATGATATTGCTTAATGTCCCAGCTATTCACAGATGTGAAAAGCAATATGAATAAGTACTACTTCCGGAAAAAAATCAAAGAATAATTTAATTCTTAGGAATCGTACAAGATCCATTCCTTTTTTCTCTGACAGATGCTCAAAACTTCATTGAGTTCGAATCCTATTGAGAGGTTTGCTAAAGATTAGAAATTGTTTGAAGAAAGAAGAAATGTTGCTTTTTTAAAGTTATATCAGGAAGCCGTGGAGAAGGAGCGACGGCGGCGGCTGAGAAGATGTAGGAACAAGAGTGGCGTTAGAACGATCGAATTTCCAGATATACATACAACTAGGTCTCATATAAGGCAGCCGGGCTTCCCATGGTAGTGACTCTCATAGAAGCCCACAGATTGACGAAGACAATCCTCACAATCACTTTCCATACAACTGGTCAATGCTGGGGCATCAAAACCTTTGCAGAAGGCTTGTTCCCTATAAGAGCGGCACAACTTCTGAAACAGTTGGACTATTATCCCTATGCTCTTCATCTTCATAATTGGAGCAAAAGTGTACCCTCCATGATGTTTAGACCAGGACGAAAGGCCATACCATAGGCTTTACACTCTTCTTTTAATGGTACTACTTAGGACACCCTTGAGGACACCCATTGCGTCACAGCAATGATTCTTTTGAGCTCCATGGGCGAAGCACCCCACTACTTCTGTTAACGATGAAATCACTGAGACAAACACATCAGCAACAGGCCACATTGTGCATTGTGAATGCACTAAAAAATATGAAGAACATAATCAAGGCAATGCTACACTTCATCATTCACTTCAATCTCCCATATCCAGTTAATGCATGATGAAATCTGTCAAATGGCTCATGACAACGAGCCACGATTGTGATCATGCCATTCCATAAAAAGGCGATTGATGGTGGTGTTGATTCTGTAAGCTGTGCCATCCAAACAGTCAACTCAATGTCCTCCAGAAGGCACCATGTTCAGTGGAATTCTTGTTCATGAGGAATCCGAGCGATCAGTTTCTGTTTCTGTTCTCACTCGTCAATCTTTATTCCAGGTTGCTGCTTCCCGTTCATTGGCGTTCAAGATGATGTTGAGTCACTATCATATGCTTTTCGTACGGCTAGACATGAATTTGTTCGCCTTATAGTCATCAGGTTCCTTCAGTTTGGACCTGAAAACACTAAAGATAGAAAACGCAACAGTCAATTGATCGATGAATATAAGCGTGCTAACACGAGAAACAAGCGTTTCGAGTTTGTAGAAGAAATGTCTTTCTGCTTTCTGCTTTCTGCATTCATATTTCTCCCACATAAGAAATGTTTTGTACTTCACCAACATTTCAAAGTCCAGATTCGATGAACTTCACGACAAAATTTTATCTATTCTAATTACTATAAGGACATCAAAAGACAAGTTTACTGATTGGAATTATGTGGTCACTGATGATCTTGAGAGAAGTCAGCAGATGGGCCCATAAATTAATTCATCAAATGGACCAGTGAAGGAAGCTCTAGCCAGGTAATAACTAGCGGGCAGTAAACCTGAGATCTTTAAGGCCCCAACTCTCTCAATCAAATATTTTTCCACCCATTTTTGGCCAAGTCTCACAACATTCGGGATAAATGGAACACGTCTGTCTGCAGTTTCTTAATCTAAAGGTTTCCCATATTTATACGAAAACATGTCAGCCCTACTTAAGCACGGCTCTTCTTTGTAAGCATCCTTAAAGGGCAAAAATAAAAAACACAGTCCCTCTCTCTCTCACTTTGTGTCTTGCAAAAATGTCTGTTTCAACTTCTTCTTCTTCCTCCTCAAGAACTCAAAAGATTGGCATAGTAGGCTTTGGCACCTTCGGCCAGTTCCTGGCGAAGACCATGATCAAACAAGGCCATATTTTGCAGGCAACTTCTCGTACTGATCACTCTCAGCTCTGTGATCAGTTGGGTATCTCATTTTTCAGGTAAATGTCTCATACCTCCAGAAGTTAATCCGGCTATTCATGTTGCATAATAATTCCTCTTTGTACATTTCCAGGGACATGCGTGCATTTGTTGAAGCTGATAACGATGTCATATTGATATGCACATCGATTCTATCTCTATCCGAGATCCTCAAGTCACTGCCGCTCAATTTCGTAAAACGGCCAACGCTTATTGCCGATGTTCTTTCTGTCAAAGAGTACCCAAGAAACGTTCTATTACAAGTAAACAAACATAAAAAAAAAATTCCCACTCTTCTATTCTATGCATATGTCCAAAATAATGAATTTTTTCTGCTCTCAGGTGTTGCCGGAAGAGATGGATGTGCTTTGCACTCATCCCATGTTTGGTCCAGAGAGTGGGAAAGATGGGTGGAAAGATCTCACTTTCGTGTTCGAGAAAGTCAGGATAAGGGATGAGGAAACCTGTTCAAGCTTCCTTCAGATCTTTGAAAGTGAGGTATGTGCGTAGTCAAACTGTTAGTAATCTCCGGATTGCAGGCAAATCTCCATAAAATAATGGAAATAAGATACGGCGGTGGGTTGAACGATAACCATTGCTGACCTTGACCAATGAGTAACGTGAGGGAGGAGACAAAAATATATCATAATAACCGCCGTGTTAGAATCAACCTGTTGGCAACTTAGAACAGCCAAATTTAACAAAAACACACGAGACCCACACCCACCGACTAAAATCAATTCAATCTTGAAAATAATCACTCTTCTTCCCACAAACAATAGGTTTAGTTTGAGTTTAATCTTAAATAACACAGGGTTGCAAAATGCTGGAAATGTCTTGCGAAGAACACGATAAAGCAGCAGCCAAAAGCCAGTTTCTTACTCACACAATTGGCAGGTATTATTGTTTTTCAATTTCTCCTAATTTATGATTTAAGAGTTCGAATTAAGCTTCCACCTTCTGCACAGGGTTTTATCAGAAATGGAGATACAGTCCACACCCATGAACACAAAGGGGTTTGAGAAACTTCTACAAGTGGTATGCTCATGAAAAAATTGATTTTTCTTTTCATTTTCATCTCTCACCAACCAACAAAAGCATAAACAATGTACAATAAAGAGGAGCTTTAACATCAGATATTGTTTTCTGCAGAAAGAGAGCTCTGTTAATAATAGTTTTGATCTGTTTAGTGGGCTGTTCATCCATAACAAGTTTGCCATGCAAGAGGTAGTTATTGCTGCCATTGAATTAATTCCAAAATCTAAGAACTTTAAATATTGACAATATTCAATTATATGATGCAGCTGCAGAATCTAGAATTTGCCTTAGGAAAAGTCAAAGAGAAGCTGCTAAAGAGAATGGAGGAGACGAGTCTGAATGAGCATAAACTGTGATGTAAACAAGACTTGTAGACAGTAATGCACAGATAATTTCCAGCTCGCTAATGATTTTTATTTTCTTTTTTTTCTTCAATGATGCTCATGCCCATGTAATCCAAAGATAAAAACACACAGCTGTATTGAACTCTTGTTTGATAATGATTATCAAAGGCACTACTTAATAAGTATTCTTAGGCTAGGATAATAGTAATTTTTTTCTCTACTAATCCAAAATCCATCAACTCCAGTTGCGAATCCGTTCAAAACAGGAGTCTCGAAATTAGAGGTCCTCTGAACCCTACAATCTGTTGAGAAACGAGAAACAATAGCTTTTGACCATGTCGATGTCTATGAGGGGACTCAAACCCTAAATCTTGTGGCAGCAAACCATAGGCCTAAATGCTCGATTAATGTTAATGTAATATTCATCTATTATGCAGCTAATGCTGGTGCCTACACTTTATATTCACCAAAATTTTGAAGAATTATATTTAAAAATTCACAGTCCGGCCTGGGCAGGGATAAATATACAAACTGCAACTCTCCCAGAATCATTGGAAGAGTAATCTATGTATTGGAGTGACAATTAAAACAAAAATTATCACCTCATTGGTTCTTGATTTCATCTATACTACTCTCTTCTGTAGTGTTGCATTCCAGTACAGCAGGACCAGAAGATTCTGGTGTTCTGTAAGCGGGCTCGCTCTTCCGAGCTTGTATTCCCGAAAAGCGTGCAAGATCAACCCATTGCTACAGCATTTAGTGACAGAAACTCATGTTAATACTGAGTAAGAGAATAAGGAAAATACAACTGCAATACTGGTGCTGTGAGAGGTGATTTTGAGAGTTCACTAGAAAGATTAATCAAGAAATAAAGATACTGCAATTCCAAGTTTATTTGTGCCAATGTCAACACTGAACTGGTAAATCACAACCAACCTAGATACTACCAGCTGTAAATATTAAAAATAAATAAACAAACCTATGCAGTTTAAAAAATTTGAGCAATTATTAAGGATCCTCTAAGAGATTTTTAAATTCTGTAGCCAACAATGTTTTAAAATTAAAGAAACACCCACAGAGGAGTGTTTTTATTTATCTTTTAAAATATGGGATAATGATAAAATTTCAGCATCTCTCAGGGCCCATAACAATTACCCAAACAATTTCACTTGAATAACAGTATACAAATATCTGTCTTGCAGCCTTTCTCTTGTGACAGAAATACATATCATAATGACCTAGGCCTTGCAATTTCAAACAATTCAATCAGGGATGAATACCCTTATAGCATGGTTCTAGGACAGACTTCTAAGTTATGCAATGATAAGATCACAATAACTGAATATGGTCCTCAAGAAAAAATGAAGACAGGATTTAAAAAGACAATGAACTTAAAAGAAGAGAAGAAATTTCTAACCTGAGTTCCCCAATAGCTGTTAATTGTCCGGACAATAAAAGATAGCATATTTACAAATAATGTGTAAGAAGAAAATTCATCAGAAATTCGATGCTCCACTATTCCAGCGATTATCTGCATTAATATTTTTATCAGCTATACATAATGTATCACACTATTTATTTGCTAAAAACTTATCAGTGATGCCAAAGAAATGATTAATGCAGAAAGTAATATCTTTACCTGATAACGTAGATTTGAAGATGTTCCAAGAAAGCAGCTATAAATAACAGCTGTTTTAAGAATTGGTGACCTTTTGTTTTGTTGATTACTAAGCAATGATGGATTTAAGAATTTGCGTATCACATACAATATATTTGAGGAAGCCACAGCCCCAATACTGGAAATAAATCCCACACCAGCCAGTTTCAAACCACCAATGAGCACCGATGCAACCCTATGACTGACATTCCAGTCCTTACCAGCAAGATTCTTTTGAAATGCATTATCTGGAATGGACCCAAGAAGACCTTTTAAAGCATCGATATTGTCTGGCACATTAATCTCATCAGCATATGAAAGGAATGAGATAGTTGGGGCAGGAAGCCAGACAGTGAAAAAGTCAACCACTATCCCCCTAAGGGTATCCGTGATAACATAGTCAAGCTCTTCAAAAAAATTCTCTTTACGCCTCTCATATTGAGCCAAAAGAGTAGTGGTAATTGAAATTGCTTCTTCTATTGCTAATCTATGCAAGAATTTGGGATCAGCTAACAATCTCTCCCTGAAACCCTGTATTCAAATAATTTATGGTGAAATTGAGCATCTATTCAAAACTAACGTGCTATATATCTAACTATGCTATCATCAATTGGTTTTCTTTGTAGAACCAATTACTTTCTCTGATCGGAATTTTGGAAAATAATATCAAACCAAAGAATAGGCAGGGTCACAAAACATAATAAAGCATGATGAAACTTTCTAATGCTTGAAGACCAAACAAGGATCTTTCTCAGTAAGAAAATATACCTGGAAGCGATGAGTGAGTTCTGAAAGAAGAGGATACTGTTCCAGGTCAAAGAAATTCTGTAGTACCTCTGGTGATATAATGCCAAGATCAAGGCCCTTTTGGAGGTCCTGATAAGCATGGCACAATGTCTTCTTTATGAGATAAAGAAATATATACATTCTCAAAGAAATTCAATGATACTTTACAAAAATAAAAGTCAACTAAAAACTAATGCTATTCCTTGTACTATGAAGAACAGCTAACCTGGGGAAGGGCATCTCGCCTCCTACCAGCTGCATTCATTACTCGAGCTATTTCAGCACGATCAAAACAATTTCTGCTACATGGTCTGGCAGCAGAATACCACAAAAAATCAGCAACAGGAACTTCTCCCTCTCTTCGTATGTATTGCCTTTCAGGATCAAGTAGTATAACAACTTGATTTTTCTTTGGTATCTTCCTTGAAATTCTTGCCGGTACCCCAGTCCCTCTTGCTCCATATGTGACATGACTTGCACCAGTCACCACTACAAGCATACCATTGGCACCTCCATCCACCATTGTTTGCAAAATTATTTGAGACATAGTATACTCCTCGACTACTCTAGCCTGTGCAGATAGATATGAGCTTGGGCCAAATGGAACCAACCGATTTGGGAAGTTCACATCGACCAATGGTCTACGCGAGATAGAAGTAAAACCAGAAATGAAACCTGAACCAGCAGGAGGCGCATATACTTTGCGATCCCCCTTAGAAAGCCCTCGAATACCTTCTGCTTGAACAGTCCTTAGAACCTAAAAGATTTGCAAGATTAAAAAATATTCCATGAGGTAAGAACAGTAAGTAACGCAAAAACCAATAAATATACTAGTTACGAGGTTCCCTACTGTTATCGGCCAGTTACCACTATATGTAACTTAACTATTTTGTATACAAGTAGTAACAGAAACATTGATCAAGTAATGTTACTGGACCATAACTACCTTGAGTGGAGTACCACAAGCAACAAGATAAACTCCATTATCACGACAGAAATTTAACAGAGGCTCATACTCTTGCCAGCGTTGAGGCGGCAAATGCGACGCATAAGACTTTAACTTTTCTCCATCCATCCTGCCATCAAATGCAGGTCTCAATATAAGCCACAAAACAGCAATAAGAATTCTTGAAATTTTAAAAAATAAAAATAAAATTATTAACATCTTAATACAACCTCTTATCTATGTATTGATTGAGCTGGTCTTGCAAGTCACAAGGAAACACCTCCAGAGCCAAAGAGATCTTTCGCTCGCTCTCAACGCAGCGTTTTCGCAAATTCTTAACAATCTCAAGCTCCAGTTCTCTATCGTCTTTCACTGGAACCTGCTCGGCTTCGCCTAAATACACAATTCTCGCGTTCATCAACTTCTCCCACACTCTATTCTTATCCTTTCCCACGGCCAACGGCTCTCCGATCGACGTCGCGTCGTATATTCTCGAAACGACAACCTCCTCGGGCGCAACTGTTTCCGGATTCCTCGGCGCGGTACTCGCAGCTGTGGTATCGTCTCCAGCTGCCGTGGCGGCTGGAGCTGATTGGAGGAGCATAGATGCCCCGACGACAATGAAAGGAGAGACCAACGCGTGGCGGCGGGAGAGTGAGTTGGATTCAGGAACATTCTGGTTCTGGTTCTGATAATGGTGGTGGTGATGGTGGTGGTGATGAGAAGCGAGGGAAAGAGAGGTGACGTGGCAGTGTTTTTTGGTGGAGACAAGACCAACACGACGTCGTAGAAGAGAAGTACGCTGGCGGTATAGAAGCGGATTAGTTGCAAAAGTAGGCCTGTGATTGTGCGTGTGGGCCTCCATTTAGAGATTGCTACGAGTTAGCGCAAAGCCAACTCATAGTGTATACCGAACCAATGGCGTTCCTGGTGGCGAAATTTTGGCCTCAAATACTTGTCTTTTTTTTGTGGTCTTTATTTCGTAAAATATTCAAAATCCACTAGCTATTATTAAATTGTCTCCATGGCTTTGGTGGAGATTATTTTTCTGAATTTTTGATTTTAATTAAATGTTGCATGGATTTTTATTGTCACAGGTAGAGTGTTCAAAAAAATACAAAAAAAAAAAACCGAACTGAAAAATTGATTAACAAAAAAACTGGTTCAGTTACAGTTCAAAGAATTCAAAAAACCAGATTTTAGATTCAATTTCCAATTTGGGTGAAAATGCAAACCAGTTAACCGAAACCGGTTTTACTAACTGGTTTACTAAAATATATATATACTATACATTAAATTAAAATTAAAAAAAAAAGATAATATTAATGGGTATTATATATTAAAATAAAATAAAAATTAAATTTATTTGCTTAATTTTTAATGTATTATTAATTGTAGTCAATAGATATGTATGAATATTTAATTATTTAAATGTGTTGTTGATATTTACAATTTAATTCGGGGAAAAAAAAAAAAAGTTTAATCCAATTTAAAAGAAAAACTGGTTCAAAACCGATTAATCGGTTTTTTCAAAACGGATAAGCGATTTTTTGATTAACCGAAAAATCGGTTTTCCCCTAAACTGGTTCGATTTTGGTTCAGGAATTTTTCTGAACCGAAAAACCGTTTTGATTCAAGAAACTCGTTAACAGCTTTTGAACACCCCCAGTCACATGAAAATAAAAGCTGTTTGTATTGTTTGGGATACATCAAACATCTACAACTTTGACAAAGTTTTACAAGAATATGATCTAACACAAATGACATATTTCTTCTCAATCTATATAGTGTGCTTAATGAAATTATTCCAGGATCTGCAACTAATTGTGATTGACCCATTGAGGTCTAGTACATATCACCAATTATACTCATGTCTTCTGATTGAACAACGGAAAAGAGCAAACGATGGAAAGAATACGAGGACTTGAAATAAAAGGAGAACCGTGGCAGTCTCAACTCTCCAACAACAAAGCCGGCAAAAATGCTCTTTATAGGAGAGAAGGCTCATTCGATACCATGGAATGATGGCAAGACGGCCATGAGAGGATCTCCGTAACCAACAGCCTCTATAACACACAAAGTTTAAATTAGATAACTAGATGAGCTTCATTGCCAGATTTGCACAATTTGCTGATATTGGCTGATTTATAAGCATGGCATGCTGTATTTCAGATGTCAGAGTCCATAGGCGATTTGTATAGTGTCAAATCAAAGTCCATGGTTACACCCTATACTAAGTGACTCAAGACTTTAGGATATGATAATGATATATAACAAAAGGTTATAAATGTTATACCTCCATCATTGAAGAGGAGCTTCAAGACTTCTCCGGTCACGTCTGACTGCTCAACAAATCAGGTATACATCATATCAGGAGACATCTATTATGGGAGGAAATAGTTTACAATTAAGAAATCAGAAAGGTAAACTCACCCTCACAGGAAGTTCAGTACCAAATTGATCCAAGTATGCTATTATTTGTCCTTCTTTAATCACATCACCCTGGATAGTTTGAATAGTTAATTCCCAATACCATGGAAAGCAAATTGAATCCATGTAGTTATGATAGTAAGCCTAAAAGTTGGTATTTGGCTTAGGAAATTAAATTTCAGCAGTAACTTTAGCCTTTACGATGAGACTGATGATAAAAGTTGCATTAACTCCATAGAGATCTTAAAAAGTGAAACATATTTACGAATTTATAAAGTTTAATTGTCAGTTGCGAACAAGTTTAATAACTGAAAGCACAATGGCGAAGACAGAAAGAACTAAGGTGAAGCAGAGATACCTCTTTACAGATGGGAGGTTGCTTCTTTCCTTTCACTGTTCTGCTCCTTCGGAATGAACCAACCTGGCAAAGAAGAAATTACATTAATTACACTGGAAAACATTGTTCCAAAACATTAAGAATGGAATTACTGTCTAGGAACATGTACCGTTGGAGAAGATACTAGAACATAACCATTTGATCCAGAAGCCTCCAAGGCTGCTAATTTTGGTGACTTTCCAAACGACACATTAGAAAAAGGACTGGTTTTTTCTTTAGAGGGTTTTGGTGGTGTCGGTGGTGCAGCTGCAGCCGCAGGAGCTGATACATCCATGGGTTCAGTTGGAATAGGTGGTGGTGTTGTTGGCGAAATGTTTGACAAGGGAGCTTTAGTGGCTCCAACATTCCGCTTCACTTGCATTTCAAAGTCTCCAACCTATCATAAAGTAACATAAATACTCACAAATTCAAAAAAGCTATTGTCATAACTGCGAAGGTTCTCAGTGCAGTGCCAGCAATTTTCTCTTTTTCTTTCAGATAAAGAACAAGCAAGCCAGAACTTCAGAATAGTACCTTCAATTTCAGCTCAGCAATGTCTGTCTCGTCACAGACCTCCAGTAGCAATGCCTGGTGATGTGTAACCAATAAGTAAGCTAGTTATAATTCAGATCAGAAGAAAAAGTGGCAAGAATTGCAGATTAATATCAAGGAAGCAAAATACATTATCATTTCATAAATTTCCTTAACTCTTGAGTGAATGAAGTTCAATTTAAAAATGGAGCAATGAAATTTGTTCCTGGAAAGTGGTACCAAACAATAAACTTCAAGGCTTTCTTCTCATATGAAATGCATAACCTCAACAGATGAGCACAGTTAATCAATTTATATGAAATAACCGTAAAAGCAAATGGAAAGGAGAAGCAGAGATATACAGCTAATAAGCAACAATAAGGACTGAGAATTGTATGTGAATATAAGGCAAAAAAAGCTCTTGAGGAAAAATACTCACCTCAAATGCACTTGGGAAGGTTGCATTCCGCAGGGTATTCTTCTCCAAACAGCTTTGAGTAGCACTCTCAGATGAAACTGCCTCATCATAATCATTAGAAAGCCAAATTAAGCACTAATAATAAGTTCACACATTCCATTCATAAACACACATGTAAAGGAATTCTCACAAATGACTATAATTGAGGAACATAGGGCTAAACAAGAATAAGAACCCAAATGCAAGCATGGTTTCTCAACATAACAATCATTTCCATTGCAATCAAACATGAGTTCACTACTTCACACAAAGTAGATCCTTCATTCATAACTGGATTGCCAAATGGATGAAAAAGAACTTATTAAGTTTCAATATAAGATTGTTTAACTGAGCAGCCTTCAATCAAATTTAGATGCATCGTACACTGGCTTTTTCTTCTAATTTAAAAGTGAACAATTTAAAAATTAGTGACAAAGAAATTAAAACAGCATCCTGTGTTGTCTCATGTACAAACCTAATCACCTACTGCCCGCACATATGCACCAAATTAAACATGCTCAGAGAAAATTCCAATAAGATTTCACGTGACAATAAAAATTCACCACTTTATGGAATCACAGTTTATTTCTAACAATACTGGTCCTGAAACTACCAATGGAGGGATAAGCCTTTTCACACCATGACAATGGAGCAAAACAAAACTATGAAACTCACTGTCAGACTTGGCTGCCACAGTAGCTTCAGATGTCTTTGCACCCAATACAACTGTTCTGTACCGCTTCATAGGAGAAGCAACGAGTTTGTACGGTTTACTCGAGACGTGCCAGCAACTACTTTGAATAGACACCATTCCAGGCCTCTCAAGCAGCGATCCCACTTGTGAAACAGTGCCTATAGAATCTAGAATCCAACAATAAGATCTAAGCATCAGATTGCATATTACACCTTGAATTCAGCTCAGGTTGTAAGAATAATACACATATGTGATATTTCTGTCCATTCTCACAAAATATATAACTACCCTCCTGCGGCTGATATTATAAAGATTCGAAAACAAAACAATAAACAAAGAGAAAAGAATCCAGAGAAACTACATATCGAAAACATTTCCTAAAAACAAAAATCACCAAAAGTAAAACAAATATAATTGTGCTTCATACGATTTTTTTTTTCTTCTAAAGAGTCCTACTAACATGTTCCGACAAATATAACCTCTCACTGCTGATATGAAAGAAATTCAACCGCATAAGAAAAATTAAACAATCAAAATAAGGAAACATTTTCCTACAAACTAAAATTCAAGGAAAATAGTGTCAATCAGCTGCAATGTCATTTTAACTACTTTTTTTTTTTTTGCAAAATCCACCTCGTCTCCACTTCACATAAACGAAAACGGAAAAGAACTCTCATGATCAGAACTTCAACTAACCTTAATATACAGATGCATGATAACAATAACAATAAGCTCAAGAAATGAAATGGAAACACGTGAGATGGATCTGAAAAGCAGAGGAGCTTACAGTTGAAGGATCGGAGAGCGGCGGAGGACTCCATTGAAAGAAAATGAAATTATGAGAGAGCGAGAGGCAAGAGTTAACAGATTTATGAAAATGAGAGCTGAACAAGAGAGAGAGAGAGACAAAGTGGAGTTTTAAAAATGGTAGGTTGGATTGGTTGAGCTGAGGCTTAGCTAATGAAGAACGAGGAGATAATTAGTGAAGTGTGTTCCTTTGTTATTTGGTTTCCCTCGAAATCTCCGTCCACTCTGCCTTAGTTTCTCCACCGCTTGGGTTTCAATTTTTTTAACCACTTGTTTCTCACGTGGGCCGGGTGGATTTATCTATCTATCCCTGCTTCAACAACTTGGCCGCTTCCCCTCTCTTGTTTAATTGCGGTAATTACGATATCATAGTTATGATTATGTTTTCTGATTTAGAATTATTAGACAAAATGAGTTTATCACATATTTGGATTCCAACTATGTGTATTAAAATAATTTTTACCCTAGTGAGATAGGTTACTTTTACCTTACTAAGGGCAATAACGTAATAGTAATTCAACCTAATATAAAAGATTTAATAGTAATTCAACCTAATATAAAAAAAATCTTTGATTCACACAATTAGTCATCGTACTTAGTTAAAAAGTCATTGGTGCAAAACTATCGTGTATTAAATTATAATTGAATGCCTTTAAGTTAGAATCCGAACTAGAACGATGCATACACTCGCCACTAGATTACGGACCAAAAGTAAAGAGCTCTCAATCCCAGACACACGTGTCGTTGGTGAAGCCGGCATGGTGCTGTCTTGAATAGTAATTACCACCATTTTTTAGGAAAAAAAATTATTACTTGTGGATTTTTGTTAATTGATAGATGGAAGTGTCAACATAATCGAATTTTTTTTCTTAAATTTAAGAATATTTTAATCTTATTAAATAATAAATACTATCAAATCAAGATAAAGATTCTTTTTTATTTAAATATAAACAATATAAAAATTATTCAATTCTTGTTTTTAGTAACACTAACAGTCTAACACTAGCTTTTATGAGTTTTACCCAATAATTTTACCTCATTTAATATGTAACGGTATCTTGTTGCTCATCGTAATTGACTTACAAAAATGACAGATCGGTTTCTACAGAGATATTGACCAACTTGTCAGTCAAACAATTAACTAATAAACGACATGTCAAAATTCTCTTTGGAAGTTTTTATACCATAATAAAGATAGGATCACAGAGACTTTCCACAAACTTCTATCACAAATACTGAGCTTATAATTGGTCTACTTACATTTGGATAGGCGAAATCCATTACGAACTGATGATCAATCATAAGTTGACACATCATATTTATTAAAGAAAATTAGTGAAAAAAAGTTTGTGAATGTATTATTACTCTTATACAAATGGTTGCCCCTCAAAGTAATTTGGACAATAATTGAACTTCAATCAATCAACTCAGGGGTCAAAATCAGAATTACACTTCCATGGGCCATTAATATAACACTTGTAAGGGATTGGTTTGCTTCATAATTGATTTCTTGGGTTCAAATCACCCTGAGATCACTTATTACATTTATGGTTTATCTTAGAATATTGAGTTCGGAGAGTGTTCTATGAACCCTGAGAATTAGTTGAGATACGCGTATATATATAAATACACAACTCAATCTCACAACCCCTGATATAGCAGTTTATCATTTGTCAGTTTGTAAAATAGGTTCTACCTGTTTGTATGGATCTTGTATATCTATTTACGAATTAATAAATAACCAATTGTTATGTCGAGGGTTATAAGAGGAGGTTGTAGCTTCGGTATTATTGATATTCTTAATATAGACATGATCGTAGTTGTTAGTATAACCATCATCGCAATTGTTATATTCAATGAATAATAAGCAATATTATTAATCGGATATGATTCTTATATACAGTATTGACGCGTGTCAAAGTAGTAATATGCTGCTTTGCTTCCACACAACATAGTTTCTGAAAATATACAGTATGGCTAGATTTGATAAGCTAAGCAATTTTAAGGGGCAGAATTTCCCTGAATTCCAGCCTCCTAGTCTCGTTATAAAATGTTCTATGCTTGTTAGGCAAATAAGTTAACCAAATCCACCCTCTAATCTCCCACTCCATTGTTCTTCCTATAGCATTTTTGTCAATCTTCCATGACACTCTTTCTCCATATTCATCTCCGGCAAAGACTACGCCGCCTTGCCTGGTGAACGGCCGGTAAGCGCTGGTGTACCTGTCTTTGAACCAGGCCTTGGGGTTGAGTAAAGCGAATTTCGATGGCTTGGAGGAGATTACCTCTTTTCCATCAATGCTGTCATGAAGAAACCAGTTGAGAATTGCACTATAGCCATGCACAGATTGTTCAAATTTCCATGGCTTCAAACTCATTGTCGTGGTCTCTCCTGCAGATACCTTGAGCCCCAAGAAAGAGTTGGGTGGATCAAATGAACCTTCAATGGTTTTCTCTAACTCAATCTCCCTTGCGGGATTATCTGAAGATTTGCTGACTGAAACACTGATTATGCTGGTTTGAAGAGTTGGAGTTATCTGTAATGATATCCTTGAAGGGAAATGCTTTTCATCAACTCCAATTCCTCTTTCGTTCATCAGATTGTTATTAACCAGTTGAATAATATCACACCTATTAACATCAAGAGTGAAACAGAGTTTAAAAAAACGTCTGCAGAAGATGAGAAGAGAAGAACTCTGTAATTGAAATGAGCATTTACCTTATGTTGTCTGTGTTGATCATCAAGTTCACCCATCTGTCTTGAATGGTGACTTTGTAGTTAAACTGAATGACACCTTCAAGTTGGTGGTAGTTCAGGGAGAAGAGAAGTCGCTCATCGGTTAAAGGGCTGCTGGAGCTTTCGATGTCCATGGCGATGACAGGACAATAGAGATGAACTTTCCACAACCCAAATTGGGATAATCCATAAGAAAAAAGTGGGGATGGTGTTTTAAGAGTGCGGTTGGCAGCTTGAAGCTCCATAATCCAATTAGTAATCGCAAGGTTTATAGACCTCATCCACTGCTCTTCCAAGTTAGATCCCAAGTGCTTCATGAGCTGCCTGGATGCTGCTCTTGATTGGCAACCCGTCAGTTGATTCTTGAGAGAAATTAAACATCCTGAGCGGAGATCGGCAGGAGCTTCATAGATGCATACGAGAAGCGAAAGAGTGATGAAGGCGAAATTGAAAATGTCTTTAAAGTTGGAGATGGAGTCTAGTTTTGGAAGCTTGAGCAAGGAGTTACATAACTTGTTTGGGGCATATTTAAGAACTTCTTCTATGAAGTTGATCAAAAGATTGGCAATTGTATTTTCGTCTAATAAACTAGAAGATTTCGAGCTGATTTTGAATGGTTTCGAAGTCCAAAGAGATATGGAGACATTATAGTCTGCAGTTATAGAGAAGGAAACAGCTGGGGATTGAAGGTTTTTGGCTACAGAAAGATTGAGAGATGGCTGAAGTGAAGCTGTGGAACATATGCATATTGACATGGAATTGGCTTTCCATTGAGAGATTGGTGGAAGATTTTGAACCCATTCAAATATATCAGGATAGCAACAAGATGAAGTAGCCATAGCCATGAGAGCTTCTTGATTTCCTTGCTTCCTTCTCTCTGTAAGGACTTCATCAAAATGATCTTCATATTTAAAGACTCAACCATCAATGAGTTGGAAGTAAAGGTAAGATTCTTATGGGGAAGAAAGTCAAAAAGTGAAGCATATATTAGTTAGGTGCTTTAACTAAAAACATACTTTTGTGTTGAGGAAGAAACCTGAAAGATGGATAACTATACAAGAAAAAAATTATATTAAGATACCTTGATTCCTGTATGCAGTGAACTAGTTTGTAATGGAGACATCCCAAACGATAAATCTTAAAAGAAGGAATTTCCATTGTAATCATAAATGGAAACTTTCTTGAGTGCAAAACAAGGAAGTAGAAGATTAGATATAAAGCTATGATTGGCTAAGGAACTTCATTTTAAGGTTATTGTCTCTCACCTCCCTAAAGGTTTAAAGAGACGTTGCAAAATCATGGTATACTTATGACCACTGTTTTAAAACCTGGACCGGATCGGTCAGTTGGACCAGTTCGCTCGAGAATCAGACCCTTATCCAGTCCAGGTAAATCGTAAAGGCCGAATATAGTAATTGAATCGAATTGACCTGGGGTTGAACCGACAGAACAATGTCGAATTGCCGATTCAACTGTTGGGTCAAAGAATCGAACCAGTGATATTAACATAACGTCAACATGGAATAATAAAATTTAAAAATTCTAATAAATTTTCAAAATAATTCCATCCAAATCCAAAGTCCAAATAACAGTATGTAACATAAATAAAATAAATCGAAAGTCCAAATTTAAATCCAAATTCAAATAACAATATGTCATGTTGACATTACGGGTTTGATCGATCAGTCCAACCAGTTAGACCGATGGACTTGGGAACTGGCCTCTTGACTAGGTCAAGGCCTGGTCCGAGTCTTACGACACTGCTTATGAGAAGTGAGGGGATATAGCTGATGATTTTTAATACTTATGAGGTTTTGTTGATACTTTCTTAAACCTTAAGGAAGACAAACGATAATTAAGTCTCATTTTTATAAGCTTCAGCTTTCAAAAGAAAGTTGTTAATGTAGATGCCATAGAAAATGCTAACGATTTGTAACACAAGTTATCGTATTAAGACTAAAAAGTTGTTTTTAAGTATTGAACATCGAATTTAAAGATTAAAATGAAATCAATAACGTTTATCCATTCAACACTGTATATCAATATAATCCAATTTTAGTTGACCGTTTTTCTTTGAGGGTCAACATTTCTTCCTAACTTTTAACTTTTTTGTTTAGACAAGATAACTATTGTAAATATTATTACAAACTTGCACTTTGATAATGAACTGAAACATTAATCATCGTTCAAGTTGGTATGGTGCAAAGATTAAAGTTAAACATTCCATCCCTTAGATGAAATATGCTTGAATATGAGGAGTTTGCATATCCGAGTAGTCGTCTAATGGTTGAACTGGCCAACTGGGTGCTTATCTGAAGAGCTTGAAAGATTGATGATTCATTGTTTCTTGCACTTGTGCACATAACATGAGTAATACTACACATACAAACTTTCTCTTACAATCTTAACGTGACAGCTCGTAATTTGTTAGTCTATAAATAGGTCATGCTTGTTCGATATGGGTCCAGTCTAGTAAATTGTGAGCTGTCGTATCAGGGTTGTGAAAAAAATTTGTAAGATTGAGTTGTGATATAAGAGTCCGCATACCGTCATTTTGCATAATCATGAATCTCTTAAAATGTCTAGGAAAGACAATAATTGAGTTGTGATTGAATTCATACAAGTAAATGCTGAGTGGATTATGGGGGAAAACATTCCCATAAAGCTTGATCAAAGAGTGAAGGCCGTAAAGCATCCGGAATTATCTGATTAAAAAATCGAACTTAATCCAGTTAAGCAAATAATTAAGTTCTGTTTGGCCTTGAAAAAAAAAAAAAAAAAAAAAGCATCCAATCAGAGGATTAGAAAATGTGCTTTAAGAATAAACTTTAGGTCAATCACTCCCCTTTTTCGGGAATATATTACTTCTATTTTTTTATTTTTTTAAGCAAAGAAAATGATTAAAAAATGAAAAAAAATTATAAAAATATTTAAAGTGATTCTAAAATTAGTTAAAGTATCAATAACTAGAATACAAATATCTTGTGAAATTAGTTAAATTTTAAGACATTTTAAAAAATTATTCTTTTAGAAAATAATCTGCTTAAAGATGTTAAGAAATTTGACTGTATTTATTATGAGTAGAAAACATCGTGACCACACAATTTGACGGTGATCACTAGTACCGTGATCTAAACTCCAAAGGGGATCTAGATTCATAATTATACCATGAGTTGCAATACACACAATTATACCTCTCACTATATATAAAATTTTGGCACGGCTGACAGGGTAACTATTTTCTCTCTCGATCCCAAATCTCTCGCTCCACTGTACAACCTCACGCCCCACCAACCCCAACTTTTACGCGCCAGAAATGGCCGCCCAACCGACACTCCCAGTCTCTAACTCTCAACCCAACGCTCAGTCCCAACCACCGATCGCCACCCCAGCCTTCCGCGCGTTCATTTCACGCTTGTCCTCCTTCATCCGTCACGGCTTCTCTCAACGTCGGCCATGGTACGAACTTGTAGACCGAAGCGCCATGGCCCGGCCCGATTCCCTCTCCGAAGCCTACTCTCGGATACGGAAAAACCTCTCCTACTTCAAAGTCAACTACGTTACCCTACTCGTTCTCGTACTCGCTTTCTCTCTCTTATCACATCCTTTCTCTCTCCTCGTCCTTCTTTGCCTCTTCGGCGCATGGATGTTCCTCTACCTTTTCAGACCGTCGGATCAGCCTCTGGTCATCTTCGGTCGTACGTTCTCTGAACGCGAAACGCTTGGAGTGTTGGTTTTGTTGACGATTGTCGTCGTGTTCTTGACGACGGTTGGATCTTTGTTGATCTCGGCGTTGATGATCGGAGCTGCGATTGTGTGTGCACATGGAGCTTTTAGGGTCCCTGAGGATCTGTTCTTGGACGACCAAGAGCCGGTTAACTCTGGATTCCTATCCTTCCTCGGCGGCGCCGCCGCCTCAGCTGCCGCCCCTGCCGTCGCCGGACGTGTCTGAAACTGTCGTTCCGGCGTATCACGACTTCAACGTGTATGGTTAATCCATGATTTTTTTAGGCAGGAATCGGGGTAGGATTTTTGTAACGTTTGGATGTTTTTGTTTTTCATTTGTATGGTTTCAGTTTTGCTATTGAAATGCAAGATATTAATTTTAAGGGAAATGGTTCAAATGAAATCAATCTGAGTCATTCAATTTATGGGGCCTACTTTGGATCTTATGTAGTTCTCTTTTGTTAACTGTAATTTATGGTTTCGCATTTACTTATACTCTCATGGAATAATTTTAGTTTTAAGGTAGTGGAGTAGTGTGAGTAGTGAAGCTGTGTTTGTCTTTGTTTTTATGATCGGACTGAGATTTCAGGTGTAATAGGGTTTCGATTTGCATGCTGTGGTGGGTTCTACTTGGTTGGATTTAACACGTATGTATAGGATAGATTAACAATGCAGCTGGCATGTTGAATGACATTGAGCGGGACTGTGGGATGAAAATGATTGTGTTGTATTGTCATTTGTACACAGGTTGTTTGTTTGAGTTCGTTAGTACTGCGATAATGATGTTTTTATACACGATTTGGACTGATTTATAAGCAACTGAAGTGGGAATTGAATCCACATTTAGGAGTAATGCTTTATTTGCTCCAATTGTGTTATTTTTATCTATTGAGATAGGTTTTTACCTTTTTCTGTTTTTTCTTTCTTGTCTTTGGACTATATTATATTACAAATGAGGGTTCGATATTTATAAATTTTAAGTAGGAGAAGGGGAGCATATACGTGCCAATAAGCTGATAAAGAGAAGCTCATAGGACTGGGTTTGAATGTATAGGTGGCTGTTTAGGTTCTTGATTGTGAGACCTGACTTAATCTGTAGAGATGCTTCATATGGACAAGTAGATTGTTGAGTTAATGTAGTTTGCCCATGAGCATTACATTGTTCTTAGTTCAGGGAGGCCATTATGATCTTGGTTTTTCTTTTGATGATCTGATTGAGCCGGAGATGTTCAATTGTTTGTCTTAGATTATATGTCTGGAATTCTTGAGTTGTTCAATGGTATGTCCTAGATTATAGATCTTGAATTCTGGAGATGTTCAATGGTTTGTCTAAAGGAGCTATCATCTGTAGATCTCTAATTGATGGGCTACATGTAAAAAATTATACTGATTTATAATATTGTTCATATTAATTGTCTGGTATTTGATGGTTAAGCCAGATTCTTTTAGAATTGATGCTGCAGGAAGGTGCAACCGACAAGGTTTGGAAAGTTCTCAAAATTTGCTTGTGGGTTTGTCTTGTCTTAAATTGAATGTTGGGAATGTTTCTGGTGGTTTAATCCTCTTTCTAGCTTTGCAAGAACTGCTGGCTTCGTTTGCTTGCCATGTATTTAATTTTGTACCTTCTTCATACTTGATTATGGTTCGCCTTAGCTCTTAAGCACAAGTCTATGTAAGTTTTGAAGTTGGACATTCTTTCATTGTTGGCCCGGTAGTCAGCAGTAAGAGGCAGCTGATCAGCACGTTTACCTTTGCAGGTGCAACTTCAATGGCCTTTACTGGGCCAGCAAGGGACAGCAAATTCCCTTTTAGTTTTAGGGTTTCTACTATATCTTTGTACTCCATTTGAAAAAACTTGGTAAAATATTATAACCCTGTAAAATGCTGAACTTTTCACCGTCTGTTTGACAAGCAGTTTGTTACTGTTGGTTTATTTCCTTGTAAATATTCTTGCGCTGGAAACGAGGTATAGAGCTCTGTGTTCCATTCAAACATTTAGCCTTTTCGATCAGTCTCTTCTCTCCTTGTACGGTTACCCTTAACCCCAGAAAAAAGCAGATTTTGTATATAAGCCCAATTGGTTTGACCCTTGGGTATCATTGAACATCCGTTATACAGGATTTTGAGAGTTACTATCATTATGAATTATTTTACTCTGTTCTCTTTGGCTTGTTTGAAATTGATAACTTGGTTCATAAGGGCATCTGTAATAGGGCACCAAATCGGTGTCCAAATTTTGTTCCAACCAAACATCGAACGCCATGTCAAATTGATATGGGTTAAATCTATGTAAATAAATAGTAGACTAAACAACATATTCCCACCCAAGGTTGATCGAAATCCTCAGCTAATACCTGTGGTTTCATTTATTTCAAATATCCACCCTTAAATTAACACTATTTCCTTTATTTTAACAGTAAAAGGGCAGGTTGGTCTTTCTCTCTTTTTTTCTTTTTCCTCTTCCCTTCCCATTTCTTTCCCCACTACGCCTCCTCCTCCCATCTTCTTCTTTTTCCCTCTACATCTCCTCCTCCCCAGCGCCTCACCATCCCAACCCACTACCCCCCCGACCACCTTGACTCCCCTTTTCGTCGTCACCCTTCACCTCAACTGTCGCACTCCGCCAACCTCTTTCCGACAGCCCTATCACCAAAAATCTTAATCAAGCCCACCATTTAACTCATCAAAGAGCCCTCCCCAATAACCCTATGCTTTCCGTCCCCGATTTTTTACCTTTCAACATCGATTTAAGCCCCCTCTCCCTAGGGTTTCTATTTTGTTTTTCTTATTGAAATAGTGTGATTTTGGTGGTTGCTATTGGGTTTGGAATGGGGTGATTTGGCTGACTGTGGTGGTGGTTTGGATGCTGTGGTGGTTTTGGTATGGGGTGGTTTGGAATGGGATGTGGTGGTGGTGGTGGTGGTTTGGATTTGGAATGGGGTATAGTTTGGATGGCTATGGTAGTGGTTTGGGATGGGTTGTGGTGGTGGTTTGGCTGGCTCGGGTGGTGCCGTGGTGGTTTGAAATGGGATGAAGGGTAGTTTAGTAATATCATCCGTCAGAACTCAACACCGTTTTAATTTAAGGATGGATATTTGGAATAAATGAAATCAGTATTATATGAGGTTTTAGCTAACTTAGGGTGGGAATATGTCATTTACTCTAAATGGTATCATATATCAAATTTGGTAGTCACGTCAAAGAGATGTAGGTAATAAATAGTGTCATATCAAATTTGACGGATTGATGTGATATTATTCATCTATACAAAGCATTTTTTATTATTTTATTTTATATAATTTTTTAAATTTATATTTATGATAATTTAATTATTATTTATAATAATCATATAATTAAAAAAATTAAAAATAAAATTTTATTATAATATAAATATTAAACTTTAATAAATTAAAATAAATTAATACTATTTAAAAAAACTAAAATTAAAAAAAAAAAAATACTACCCAAACTAGAATAACAATTTAATTTTCTAGTATATTAGTTTTGGATCCTTTAAAATTGATATTATAAATTAATTTTATTAAATTAGTATAATTTTCAAAGTTATTAGTAGTAGTTAATTAATAAAATATATTATTTCCAACATTTAATTAATATATATATAAATAATTAGTAAAATAAATAAATTATTGAAAATTAATAGAAAGTAAAAAAAAGGGTATATATATATATATATATTTGTTTTTTTTTTTTTTTTTAGGTATAATGAGTTGGAGAAGCAATAATAAAATGGTATGAAAGTTGTACCAGTTTATTGTTTGTGATTTGAAATGGTCTAAGTGAAGGATAGAGTCATGGTTTTAAGTTTATTTATTTTTGAATTTTGTTTGTCTCAAAAGTATTGATTTTCAATGCAAAATTGCAAATTATGTTGTTTAATCACTCAAACAGCCACGGAGCAATAATTTTAAGGAGTAATACTAAATATACAAATAAATTTTTAAATATTTCTATATAAATTGATGAGATAGAAAATGAATAAAAAAATAAATACGATAAATTTGATTTTTTATATTTATTTATTTTTTATAATATCAATTTGTATAAAAATATTTGTTTGATTTATTTTTACTTTTTAGTCCAATATTATTGTAGTTTAAACTTTAAAGCGGAAGGTGACGGACCTCCGATTTGGACCAGTCAAATGTCAGCGGGCATCATCAAATAACATGAAGATGATGACTTTGTGTTTCAGAGTTGGAAAAAATGGAGCCTTTCACAAATTACAAACTGGGCTCCGGCTCCCTGTCATTAAATAGTAAAGGTAACCACTCGTGTGCAAGTTTCCAACGGTGTTCAACAAAAAGGACCCACTTTCTCAGGAGATTCTCACATTGGTACAAGACAAAACGGCAGTCACCTCATTTTAAACCCTCCTCTTAAATTCAAACCCCACCTTGATTAGCCTGGTGGCGATGGTCTTCTTCATAAAAACAAACATTATAATAATATTAAAAGTGCCTCTCAAAAAAGTACTAATGGCCGTCTCAAAAGCAGTCGTAAACAAACTCCAAGCTAAAGGTATTATGTTGATTATGACTATCTTCTAAACCAGTCAAGTTCTGTAATTTATGGTTTAATTAATCTTAGTAAATTATAATATTTGTTTATGAGATCCCCGAAAAAGATAGCCGTTGGAGGAGCGGTTGGGTGGCAATAAACATGAACTGGTCAAGGGTTTTTAATTGTATTGAGAGAAGAGTAGATGAAAACTAGCCGTTGCACTTGTTGCCTTCTGGTTTTGTAAAAACAACAAGAGAAGAGGGATGGAGCCTCTGCTCTCTTATTGCCCTCACCTGCCTGATACAGTGTCTGTCCCTTCTCTTTCTCTCTCTCTCCCTCTCTCTCACAGGGTTTTCATGTGCTTTCTCTCTCTTACTCACTCTACAAAACCCCTCTTACACTCTCTTGTTTAACTGTTTCATTTCTCTTCTTCTTCTTCGAATTGTTTTGTTCTTTCTTAGGTTGGGGAATGGAGAGTGAAAGTGAGAGTGTTACTTGTTTTAACAAATACCCTTTTGAGATTCTTGAGTGTTGGCTTAATAAGAAGAAGGAGAAGTGGAAGGAGTTAGTGGTTTATAATGTTTATCTTTTCTTGTTCGTTTGTTGTTTTATTCAACCTGTTTCGAGCCAGTCTTGGGATGGGATTATTGTCACTGAAGCTGATTTTCAAGCTCTACAAGCTTTCAAACATGAGCTGATTGATCCTAGAGGGTTCTTGAGGAGCTGGAACGATAGTGGCTATGGAGCTTGTTCTGGCGGTTGGATTGGTATCAAATGTGCTCAAGGACAAGTTATTGTAATCCAGCTTCCTTGGAAGGGATTAGGAGGCCAAATAACTGAAAAAATTGGTCAACTTCAAGCGCTGCGAAAGCTTAGTCTTCATGATAACCGCATTGGTGGTTCAATTCCTCAAGCATTGGGGTTTCTCCCTAATCTTAGAGGTGTTCAACTCTTCAATAATCGTCTCTCAGGTTCAATTCCTCCTTCTTTAGGCTCATGTCCCCTTCTGCAAACTCTTGACCTTACTAATAACTCACTTATTGGGACTATCCCTGCTAGTCTGGCAAACTCTACCAAGCTTTATAGACTCAATCTTAGCTTCAATTCATTGTCGGGTTCAATACCTCTTAGTTTCACTCGCTCTTCTTCACTTGTTTTTCTTTCTCTACAACACAACAACCTTTCAGGTTCCATTCCTGATTCTTGGGGTGAACCTCAAAAGAATAGCTTCTTTCAACTTCGGTACTTAACCATTGATCACAACTCCCTCTCAGGAACCATTCCTGTCTCTTTTGGAAAGCTAAGTGAGCTTCAAGAGCTTTCACTTAGTCATAACCAAATCATTGGAGCTGTTCCAGATGAAATAGGCAAGCTTTCCAGGCTTAGGACTCTAGATTTTTCAAATAATGCCATTAATGGAAGCTTGCCTGACAGTTTCTCCAATCTCTCCTCACTTGTTTCATTAAATATGGAGAATAATAACCTTAATAACCAAATCCCTGAATCTTTTGGTGGGTTACATAACCTTTCTGTTCTTAACTTGAAAAGAAACCAAATTAGTGGTAACATCCCTTCAAGTATTGGAAACATTTCCACACTTACACAACTTGATTTGTCACAAAATAAGCTTGGTGGAGAAATTCCGGATTCTCTTGCCAATTTAAGAAGTCTTAGTTCCTTCAATGTCTCTTACAATAACCTTTCAGGTCCTGTCCCTACTTCTCTCTCACAAAAGTTCAATTCAAGTTCTTTTGTGGGGAATATTCAGTTATGTGGGTTTAGTGGGTCAGCTCCATGTCCTTCTCCAGCACCTTCTTCAAATGTTCCAGGTGCACCCGCTGAGAAACCAAAGTCTCATGGAAGAAAATTAAGTACAAAAGATATAATCCTCATTGCAGCAGGAGCTCTTCTTATAGTTTTGCTTATCCTTGTGTGCATTTTGCTCTGCTGTTTGATAAGGAGAAGGACTGCATCAAAAGAAAAGGATGGTCAAGCCACAACATCAAGGGCTGCTGCAGCAAGGGGCGAAAAGGGGGCTTCACCTGAAGCTGGTGAAGTCGAAGCTGGTGGAGAGACCGGGGGCAAATTGGTCCATTTTGATGGACCATTGGTTTTTACAGCCGATGACCTTTTGTGTGCGACTGCAGAAATCATGGGAAAGAGTACTTATGGCACTGTCTATAAGGCAACTCTGGAGGATGGTAGTCAAGTTGCAGTGAAGAGATTGCGAGAAAAGATAACAAAAGGTCAGAGAGAATTTGAAGCTGAAGTTAATTTGCTTGGCAAAATAAGGCATCCAAATCTTTTGGCTCTAAGGGCTTATTACATGGGCCCAAAGGGTGAGAAACTTCTTGTTTTTGATTATATGCCTAGAGGGAGTCTTGCAACTTTTCTCCATGGTAAGTAAAATGTAGACTTTAGTTAAATTCCTAGTTGTTCATTTACTAGATACTTCAATTTAGAAGCTAATAATCTGTTTCTTCTGTTGCAGTTCGAGGGCCTGACACATCAATTGATTGGCCCTCAAGGATGAAAATCATTCGAGGCACGGCGCAAGGCCTACTCTACCTTCACAATCATGAGAACATTATGCATGGGAACCTGACATCAACCAATGTCCTCCTTGATGAGAGTACAAATGCTAAAATTGCAGATTTTGGCCTCTCCAGGTTAATGACTGCTGCAGCTAATGTAAATGTGATTGCAACTGCAGGCGCATTAGGCTACAGAGCACCTGAGCTTTCAAAGCTCAAGAAAGCCAACACAAAAACTGATGTATACAGCCTTGGAGTTATCATGTTGGAACTCCTAACAGGGAAGTCTCCAGGCGAGGCAATGAATGGAGTGGACTTGCCTCAATGGGTTGCCTCCATAGTAAAGGAGGAGTGGACTAATGAAGTTTTTGATTTAGAATTGATGAGGGATGCATCAATAATTGGTGATGAGTTGCTCAACACACTGAAATTGGCTTTGCATTGTGTTGATCCTTCACCCTCAGCACGACCGGAAGTTCAACAAGTTCTGCAGCAACTAGAAGAAATAAGACCAGAGACAGCTACCACCAGTTCCGGTGATGAAGGAGCTGCAGTCCCTTCAACAAGTGAGTAACGCGAATGTTATGAGCTATGTAGTTGGCAGAGAGACAATTAGGAGGTTGAGTAGAGACTAGTACTACTATTCTTTCATTCTTGAATATTAATTTTGTGTTTTAGAGTCTATTGTGTCTGTAAATATCAGTTTGTTTCAATTTATTCGAGGTGTTCCCGTATTCCATTCCAATAGTTTTTCCAGGCTGAGTAGGAAGAACTGAACATTTTTGATATTTGATTGACTCGCTGGAAAAAAGGTTTAAGTTCCAGCTTTTGCTACAAGTAATCTTTGCTAGTTTATCTTTCACCATTGCTCTGACCATTCAGCATCAAGCTTATGAACTTTTAATCAAACACATTAAACACATTGAAACTACTTTATTTCAATCTTCTTCGAGGACCACAAGTTACTTTCATTCACCTATAAAGAAGAAAATGATCAATACAAAGTTCCCCAGTATTCATGATTTTGCTATTTCAACTCATCAGTTGAAACTGACTGAAGTTCTAGAGAAAAAAGATGCTTCACTTCTTTATTGTTCGGTCTCTATCTTTGGTCGGGTGCACAAGTGACTACTCAAATTTTCCAAGAATTACCAACTATTTATGTGATATGACAGGTGAACTATAACTGAGTACTACTGGGTAAAGCTTCTGCTGCTTCAGTTCATCCTGAGGTGGAGCTTGAATTCAAACCGAAGTAAACTTGATAATCTTACCAACAACTTTTAGCTTCACTCAAATTTCTCTGAACCAATATCAAACAGTCTACAGCATACAGAAGTACTGTACTAGTAGTTCAATATATTCATGTTCTGTATGCATTGTTTTTTCTCATCCGCTTTGGGCCCATGCCCGCACGGATTTTCTTTTAGGCTGAAGGAGTTAGTGGTTTATAATGTTTATCTTTTCTTGTTCGTTTGTTGTTTTATTCAACCTGTTTCGAGCCAGTCTTGGGATGGGATTATTGTCACTGAAGCTGATTTTCAAGCTCTACAAGCTTTTAAACATGAGCTGATTGATCCTAAAGGGTTCTTGAGGAGCTGGAACGATAGTGGCTATGGAGCTTGTTCTGGCGGTTGGATTGGTATCAAATGTGCTCAAGGACAAGTTATTGTAATCCAGCTTCCTTGGAAGGGATTAGGAGGCCAAATAACTGAAAAAATTGGTCAACTTCAAGCGCTGCGAAAGCTCAGTCTTCATGATAACCGCATTGGTGGTTCAATTCCTCAAGCATTGGGGGTTCTCCCTAATCTTAGAGGTGTTCAACTCTTCAATAATCGTCTCTCAGGTTCAATTCCTCCTTCTTTAGGCTCATGTCCTCTTCTGCAAACTCTTGACCTTACTAATAACTCGCTTATTGGGACTATCCCTGCTAGTCTGGCAAACTCTACCAAGCTTTATAGACTCAATCTTAGCTTCAATTCATTGTCGGGTTCAATACCTCTTAGTTTCACTCGCTCTTCTTCACTTGTTTTTCTTTCTCTACAACACAACAACCTTTCAGGTTCCATTCCTGATTCTTGGGGTGAACCTCAAAAGAATAGCTTCTTTCAACTTCGGTACTTAACCATTGATCACAACTCCCTCTCAGGAACCATTCCTGTCTCTTTTGGAAAGCTAAGTGAGCTTCAAGAGCTTTCACTTAGTCATAACCAAATCATTGGAGCTGTTCCAGATGAAATAGGCAAGCTTTCCAGGCTTAGGACTCTAGATTTTTCAAATAATGCCATTAATGGAAGCTTGCCTGACAGTTTCTCCAATCTCTCCTCACTTGTTTCATTAAATATGGAGAATAATAACCTTAATAACCAAATCCCTGAATCTTTTGGTGGGTTACATAACCTTTCTGTTCTTAACTTGAAAAGAAACCAAATTAGTGGTAACATCCCTTCAAGTATTGGAAACATTTCCACACTTACACAACTTGATTTGTCACAAAATAAGCTTGGTGGAGAAATTCCGGATTCTCTTGCCAATTTAAGAAGTCTTAGTTCCTTCAATGTCTCTTACAATAACCTTTCAGGTCCTGTCCCTACTTCTCTCTCACAAAAGTTCAATTCAAGTTCTTTTGTGGGGAATATTCAGTTATGTGGGTTTAGTGGGTCAGCTCCATGTCCTTCTCCAGCACCTTCTTCAAATGTTCCAGGTGCACCCGCTGAGAAACCAAAGTCTCATGGAAGAAAATTAAGTACAAAAGATATAATCCTCATTGCAGCAGGAGCTCTTCTTATAGTTTTGCTTATCCTTGTGTGCATTTTGCTCTGCTGTTTGATAAGGAGAAGGACTGCATCAAAAGAAAAGGATGGTCAAGCCACAACATCAAGGGCTGCTGCAGCAAGGGGCGAAAAGGGGGCTTCACCTGAAGCTGGTGAAGTCGAAGCTGGTGGAGAGACCGGGGGCAAATTGGTCCATTTTGATGGACCATTGGTTTTTACAGCCGATGACCTTTTGTGTGCGACTGCAGAAATCATGGGAAAGAGTACTTATGGCACTGTCTATAAGGCAACTCTGGAGGATGGTAGTCAAGTTGCAGTGAAGAGATTGCGAGAAAAGATAACAAAAGGTCAGAGAGAATTTGAAGCTGAAGTTAATTTGCTTGGCAAAATAAGGCATCCAAATCTTTTGGCTCTAAGGGCTTATTACATGGGCCCAAAGGGTGAGAAACTTCTTGTTTTTGATTATATGCCTAGAGGGAGTCTTGCAACTTTTCTCCATGGTAAGTAAAATGTAGACTTTAGTTAAATTCCTAGTTGTTCATTTACTAGATACTTCAATTTAGAAGCTAATAATCTGTTTCTTCTGTTGCAGTTCGAGGGCCTGACACATCAATTGATTGGCCCTCAAGGATGAAAATCATTCGAGGCACGGCGCAAGGCCTACTCTACCTTCACAATCATGAGAACATTATGCATGGGAACCTGACATCAACCAATGTCCTCCTTGATGAGAGTACAAATGCTAAAATTGCAGATTTTGGCCTATCCAGGTTAATGACTGCTGCAGCTAATGTAAATGTGATTGCAACTGCAGGCGCATTAGGCTACAGAGCACCTGAGCTTTCAAAGCTCAAGAAAGCCAACACAAAAACTGATGTATACAGCCTTGGAGTTATCATGTTGGAACTCCTAACAGGGAAGTCTCCAGGCGAGGCAATGAATGGAGTGGACTTGCCTCAATGGGTTGCCTCCATAGTAAAGGAGGAGTGGACTAATGAAGTTTTTGATTTAGAATTGATGAGGGATGCATCAATAATTGGTGATGAGTTGCTCAACACACTGAAATTGGCTTTGCATTGTGTTGATCCTTCACCCTCAGCACGACCGGAAGTTCAACAAGTTCTGCAGCAACTAGAAGAAATAAGACCAGAGACAGCTACCACCAGTTCCGGTGATGAAGGAGCTGCAGTCCCTTCAACAAGTGAGTAACGCGAATGTTATGAGCTATGTAGTTGGCAGAGAGACAATTAGGAGGTTGAGTAGAGACTAGTACTACTATTCTTTCATTCTTGAATATTAATTTTGTGTTTTAGAGTCTATTGTGTCTGTAAATATCAGTTTGTTTCAATTTATTCGAGGTGTTCCCGTATTCCATTCCAATAGTTTTTCCAGGCTGAGTAGGAAGAACTGAACATTTTTGATATTTGATTGACTCGCTGGAAAAAAGGTTTAAGTTCCAGCTTTTGCTACAAGTAATCTTTGCTAGTTTATCTTTCACCATTGCTCTGACCATTCAGCATCAAGCTTATGAACTTTTAATCAAACACATTAAACACATTGAAACTACTATATTTCAATCTTCTTCGAGGACCACAAGTTACTTTCATTCACCTATAAAGAAGAAAATGATCAATACAAAGTTCCCCAGTATTCATGATTTTGCTATTTCAACTCATCAGTTGAAACTGACTGAAGTTCTAGAGAAAAAAGATGCTTCACTTCTTTATTGTTCGGTCTCTATCTTTGGTCGGGTGCACAAGTGACTACTCAAATTTTCCAAGAATTAGCAACTATTTATGTGATATGACAGGTGAACTATAACTGAGTACTACTGGGTAAAGCTTCTGCTGCTTCAGTTCATCCTGAGGTGGAGCTTGAATTCAAACCGAAGTAAACTTGATAATCTTACCAACTACTTTTAGCTTCACTCAAATTTCTCTGAACCAATATCAAACAGTCTTCAGCATACAGAAGTACCGTTCTAGTAGTTCAATATATTCATGTTCTGTATGCATTGTTTTTTCTCATCCGCTTTGGGCCCATGCCCGCACGGATTTTCTTTTAGGCTTCACGCAAGTGTTCTTCATACTTCTTCTTCCGAAACTGAGTCCAAAAGCCAATCCGTGCAAACTTAGATTCAAAACAGACGATATCTATTTTATTGGATCCAAGATATTACATTATCTGTACTAAAAATCAACATGTCTGGTGGCTTGTAAATTAATGTACAGTCGATGTGTATATATTAGCATAGACTCTAAATTGTTGTTGGATGTTGAACTCCAGAGGGGCAAGAACTCTTTGATGGGACCAAAAGAAGGTTTTGTGGAGTCTCCATGATCTGTTTGGTGCAAATTTTCTTTTGCTGGACCGGTAGAAGACATGAATATTATGTCATTTTCTCTCAATTCTTCCCATTTACATCACTATCAACATTTGTTGGGAGGTCATTTAACTGTCTTCCCAGATACTCTGAATTTAAGCTTTTATTTTTGTAGCTGTAATTTGTTTCTCAAAAACTATTAATCTCCATATCCATCCAATAATTCAAATACACCTTTTATCCAAACTGTCCTATAACAACGACAACTCCGCCGTGTCTTTGTAACATCAATCATGCACCTATTGCACGTATCTTACGTTAAACAAATCTGTGTAGTCACAACACATTCAAACATAAACTTGTAACTCTCGCAACACTTGTCCTAAACAATATTTTTTTTTTTTCTATCTTCCCGTGTAAAATTTTCATTAAAACAAAAGGGTGGTTTTACAAATATAATTTCTGTTATTTGGCAATGATTTTATGCAACAAACTTTCCATTCAACC